TATTTAAGGACATAAATAGGAGAATGACAACAGTATATGTATATAGCATTTAATATCCACATAACATACATGTGTTATATAATGAATTTGATTTATTCACTTAAATATAATCATAATAACAATTATTAAGCAAAAAATGATATGATATAAGTTATATTATAAAACACATAATATGTAAACGTAAATTGTAATATTTTTAAAATATTGCGCGGAATTTAACTGAAAACAGATATATTAAGGAAACACAATTTATTGACAGAATTAATGACTTAAAACTAACAGCTATTTGTAAATGCAATTAAAATTATAATTATTCTAATGTTTAGTGGAATTTGGTGTGCGATAGAAGCCATTTGGCGTCAATGTCTCAATCGTTATATATGTTTGGCTATGTTTTGGGAGCCGTTATATTCGGCTATCTGTCCGATCGGTACGGAAGGCGTCCTATTATATGGATTACAATTGTTATTGAAATATTAGCCGGAATTTCGAGCGCATTATCTATTAATATAATACATTTTATGATATCTCGTGTTATTCTTGCGTTCGCTTCAAATGGACGCCTCTTATCGACATTCATGTTAGGTATTTACTAAACACTTGCGAAATATTTTAATCATTACTTTGTATTAATTTATTTACCAGTCAACGAATGTGTGGGACCCAAACACAGGGCCACAATAGGCATGTTTATTCAAGTCGGTTGGGCAGTAGGTTATTGCCTATTGCCTGCCATCGCGTATATGTTTCCCAACTTTCGGCACATGATTTTGGCCACATCTATACCCGAAGTTCTTTGGCTCGTTTGGCTGATCGCTGTTCCGGAGTCTCCGCGATGGCAGATAACACACCACCGCTGGGATAGGGCTGAACACCAACTCATGAAAGCCGTCGTCATTAATAAGTTGCCTTTGGATGACATTCACAATCAGTTTGAAGTTTTGAAGAATAGTATATCAGAAGAGGAATCGAAAATGAATGTGAGGACTAATTGTCTGGATCTACTGAAGACACCAAATTTAAGGCGAAGTACACTTATTATGTACTTCACGTGGTTTGTCAACTCATTCGTCTATTACGGCATTTCATTAAATATCGGCGACTTTGGCGGCAATCTGTTTGTCAGTTTCTTCATCGCCGGACTCATAGAGTTTCCGAGTTATCTCTTCCCTATATTTGCGTTCAAATATGTCGGCCGACGGCCAGTCACTGCGGGTCTCATGTATTTCAGTGGTTTGTCGTGTTTCGCAATAATACCGTTCATTTCGTATCCAATATTATGGCTGAGAATTACGGTCGCAATGATTGGAAAGTTTTTTATTACCAGTTCTTATGGTGTGGTCTATGTTTATGCGGCGGAGATATATCCCACTGTCATCAGACAGGTAGGCGTCGGCTCGTGTTCAGTGGCCGCACGGGTGGGCTCTATGTTGGCTCCGTTTGTTAAGGACTTGGTATGAAGTGAATAAAGTAACCGTAATAAACATGTTATACAATATTAATTAATGGTTAATACTATGAACAGAATGTATACACCGGAATGGGTGTCGTTTTGTCACTATTTGGCACACTTTCAATGGCCGACGGAATAGCCATTCATTTTCTGCCAGAAACTCGTGGCCAACACATCGCCGACACATTAGAAGAGGCAGAACTATTAAACAGGTATTATATTTATTCAGTAATAATTGGATCAGTTTTTACAAGTTTTAAATTTTATTTTAATAGAAGGAAACAAAATACAATCACAAGAAATGATAATGAATATGCATTTTAATAGACAATCACTTGAATTAAATAATATATTGAATTTACAAATCATGTGATCGTACGGATAGTATTAAAATTAATAATTTTTACATTATAACAAATTTAATAACAAATAAATATTTTAATTAAATTGTTATGTTTTTAGTACAATTATAAAGTGACAAATATTTTAACACCAATTTTATTACAAATATAATGTAATATTTGTTGTATTTTTGTATCGGATCGAAAAAATATAAATATATATTTCATTTAATATAAATTTATAGTAAATTTATTGCATTTTACTTTCATCTCTAATCATAATTTGTTCAATTCTAGTAAATCTTGTGTTGAATTCGCTAATTTTAATTTAATATTAATTAAAATGTTCTTTTTGTAAATTTTATTAAATTTTCAGAATATATTGGCACAAAAAATTGACTAAATATTTCTGTTAAAGTAATGATAAATTAATAAACATTACAATTAAGAGTATTGAGAATCTCTGGGAATCTGTAAATAATCTACAGTTTCATATTTTGCTATTATAGTACATATTTTGCAATATAAATGAGTATATATTTATATTATATAATATTATACAGTGCAACTTCTCCATAAGGAACGGCCAGTTGCACGGCAAAAGTGTTCCCTATAGAGAGTGTTCCTCCAAGGGAGGTTCTGTTATAGGTATAGAAACTCCAAAATATATTTCAAATCCGTTCCTCCAAAGGAGGTGTTCCCCCAAGAGAAGTTCCCACAAGAGAGGTTGCACTGTATTATGCTTATTTTATATAAGTAATTGATAATAATTTAAACAATTATTCAATCATATAATATTGTCTATCACTTCAATTAAGTGTTAAGCACTTAACGCAGTGAATGAGAACAATATTTGACTTCAAATAAATATATTATTTGCCAAACAATTAGTTAATTCAAATGTAAGGCAAGAGAGAAATGACTAAAAGAGTTGATTAGTTGTGATGTTTGGGTCGGATCTTCATTTGGGCGGCTTTCAGATGCTGTGAATGTTTCCAAGAGTGCCATTGAATGCCTTGCCATACGTGCGGCCGCTTGTGTTTCGCGAAATAGGGTGCAGTGAGAAATGCATTGTGACAATTGTGAAACCACCATCCTCCTTGCAATTTGGCCCCACAATTATCATCACTGATTATGTTGTTGTTCTTGTCGTGAGTGGAGAACATGGATGAGTTGTGGGCCAACAATGCCTGCGCTATAGTTGTGTTGGACTGTATGGCGTGTCCTAACTATTTGTACAAAAAAATACAATTTTATTACTAATTGACAAATAAAATGGATAATTCATACGTGAAGTCTATAATTGTCTGTTTCTCCGCCTATTTTGAATCTGTCGTAAACGAGAGACACGTATTCGCCGTCAAACGACTCGAGATCCACCTGAAGAATATAGTCTTCAGTGACAGTCATCTGATGGATATTATCGAGACCTAACCAGAACTCTCCCGATTCCATGTCTCCAAACCCATCCTTATATCCACTCCACGTCTGATCAAAGCTTATTTGACGTCTTCGACCAAAGTCTCCGCGTCTGAGGATTACCTGAAAGTTAAGACAAATAATTTGTAGAATAAATTATAAAATTGTTAGTAATGACTGAACATACTGTCCATCCGCCCCCGTTGTCACTCATATCGCAATAGACTCGTAAAAGTTTAGTGTTTCCAATGAAGATCACGTAAACGCCGTCACAATTAGCACCACTTTTGTTGAGCTCAGAACAGCTTTTGGGCGTTAATAATGTGGACGAGTGCTGACAATCTGAAGGATTGGTCGGTCTTTTGGCCGGACTTATGGTCTTTCGTTGATTAATGGGTGCAAACGATTGGGTGCTGTTCACAATAATTGGTGGCAAGTCTTGTGGTGCAATACTTCGCCCCTTATTGTTGTTGTGAACATTTGAATTACAACTACTCATATATTCCTCTATTTTACTGCCAATTATTGTCATTTCATTTTCAATTGTGACACCAATTTGTCCCAATTGTGTCTCCATTTGGTGCTGAAGAGTTGTCACATTAACGGTCGGACACTGTTGTGGTAAATGAGTGTCTCTGTGGCCATTAAGAGATGGATGATAGCTATCAAAAGTGGATTCACTTCTTGTCTGTTGCGTTGACTGTCGTCTTGTCGTGCATTCGTCACGAATGGTAAGCATTTCAATGTTTATATTGTTCAACGATGTGATCGTCTCTTTGCCTAATTTGGCCACATTTGACACTTGCTGTGAAATTGATGTCTCAATTATACTCATTTGTTCCAACAGTTTCTTCTGCATCTCTTCCATTTGGTCCGGACTCTCATTATCTCCGTTTCCAATATAACCGCCGGATCTGCCCTTCAAAACCATTGTCACATCTTTGCTCAGTTCATACGTATCGCTAATAATATTCATTATTTTTCTTAGTTTTCCATCACTTTCTGAATCAATTCGTTTGACTTCTCGAGAGATTGTGTCCACATTTTCAGAGATTGTATTAATCTTTGTATTCATTGATTCTTCAATTGTCTTAATCTTATTCTCCATTCTATCGAGTTTTTCCTCTAAGAACTTATTGTTTAATTTGTTGTTTTCAATCGAATCGATAATCTTCTCGACTCTATTCGAGATGACAACCAAACTATTATCCATTGAAGAAACTTTTTGTTCATTCTTCTCGATTGAATTCCAGATCAAAGTAGTCGTCTTCTGGATGTCTTCCATCATATCTCTTTTGCGCCCCTTTTGACACAAAGCGATCGGACAATTAGACAAAAGGCTAATCGCAAACAATATACAACTTATTTCAATTACGAGTTTCATTTTTGTATTGATTTTTAATGTGTTTTCCCACTTTTCCGCGTGTTTTATATCAAGAAATTATTAGTTTTTTTTATGAATATAAACGTCGAGTTAATAATACAAAATTGACATTTAGTTTATGAATAAAATACGTTTATTAGCTGTTAATAGGAAATAAATCGATGTTTAGTTAGTTTAATGCAATCATTATTAGGGGTTCTTTGCTGTGAATGATCTGTTGATGAACTTCGTGTTCACTTGTTTACACACTTTTCTCGCTTTCAATCACTCAACACTTGATCCCTGTATTGATTAAGTGATAACAAAATATATTCCTTAACTTTTCGCTCTTTTTCGCGATATCTCTCTTCTCTTAACAAATGAAATGACGAATAATTTTGTTCAGTAGTTATCGCTTAATGACGCGATTAGTCGATTGATATGTCTTTAATATTTAGTTAAATGAATTGATTTTAGTGTATGGTATCCATCGATTGGAAATATTTGTGCATTTATTGGTTGATTATATCAGAAGAGATGTTAATGTTTAATATCAGTTTTTTTCACTTAACTTCTCGTATATATTCACTTAACAGCCAAAAGTGAAAAAACACACAATTTTATAAGAGATTCACTTACAATACATAAGCATTTGATTTATTTAATAATTATATTGAGTTTTAATGTGGAAAAGATATGGATTATTGATTGAAATGAGAATCACTGCATCTGTATTTCAATGTCATTGAGTTTTCTATGCCTTGCCTTTGAAAAAAGTGTTTCGTTTTTATAAGTAACGAATGGTTTCTCATTTCTTAAGCATTAAGTCATTTAACTAAAAGGCTATCATTAAATCATATTTGAATATCATATCAAAACACTTTAGTTCCGCACACATTGATTGTATGAACGGATTAAACGTAATAAACCATAAGTATTACTAATTAATTGGTTCACAAAAATAAGTTATTTATAAGAAAGAGGAAATTGGTTAATTAACTGAAGGGAAACAACAAATCAAATCTTAAGCAAACATTTCAAACAATATCCACACTATTGTGAATGTAATCGACAAAATAAAATAACAGGAATTAACTGAATGTCTAATATTAGCAGTTAATAAGAATTCATATGAATTTTTATCGCATATTTACAGTGCATTTGTAATGCAATAAGATTTTGCATATAAATTGTATATAAATTATATTTATTACAAGTAAAAACAAAACGTTGAATAAAATAGTATGAAATAATAGCAAAAAGCACTTATAATTCTTTCATTATATAACACTTTCAATATCTTCGGGTTTGGCGTGAATTTGAGCCAACTTTTCTCCCTTCTTGAGGCCAATGGCGAAGGCGTAGACCCGGGAGTCGACAACAATACCGCGTTTGTTGTACTCATTGAGTCGGTCTAACAGACCGTTGACGGGCACCTGATGTACCTCAATGTCAGTGTGTTTCTCATTATGGTTACCGTTAATGAATCCATTCTTAATCGGGTCGTCGCCATCGATCACGAGTGACACCAGACGTATCTTTCCGTCACATATTTCTATTCATTAAATGGTTTTATTACTATAATTGCTATGAATTGTAATGATATTGATTAATACAAACCTGGATCTAAAGCTGTCTCTGGGCTGATGTGGTGAATGTCTGATGATTTATATCCGGTATTGTTCTCCACATCTTTGATGGCGGCCTCACCGGTAGTCTCCTCATCGCTCTCTTCGTCAACCAATGGGTTTTCAATAATCTTTGCCGGAAATTCCAAGACATAGGACTTGAGTGTCGGTCTGTACTGTTTGATGAGCAGAAGGCAATCGCACAGAATATGTCGCTTAAGAATAGCGATACTGAGGACACTGACGGTGTCGTCGGTAACAGTGGGTCCGCTGCCGACACTGTATTTCTTTTTAATAATCTCAGCCGATTTGATGACACCCTTGTCTTCGAAGGTATATTTACTCAATTGTAATGAATTCCCGGTGAAGAGTAACTGTTCGTTGACTGGTTTGAAGACCGAAGTGTCTAAACACAGGCTATCGATATCACTTAATCGTCTCATTGTAGGCATTCGCGAGTTTGTAGTCAATAAATCTTTCGCTGTCTGTGACTCGATATTTATAGTCGACATCTCTTTTTATGGGTTACGACTGTTTGGCTGTAATGTCAAAGCAAACAATTGCAAATCTATTTGTCTATTCAATGAATAATAACTACGGCTCGTGTTTACCGGAGAGTTAAGTAAACTTTTGTCCCGAAAAAGATATGCGATTTAACTTAACTTTGAAATACGAGTGAATGATAATCGAGGAGTTGCTGAGAGACACGTGAAGGTTACCTCTCTTTAGGAGGGGCTTCTTTGGGGGCGAAATTGCTTTTCCCGATAAAAAATTAAGTCTTAGTCTATCGATAAGATTGGAAACCGAAAAAAAGCAATTAATAGCAAGAAATCGTCGCTTATTTATTGATTACTTTATGATTTTCTCAATAATTATTTCATTCGTTTGCCTATCGTTTTAATTGGTCTAAAAATATATGCATTTATGTTATTAAAGGCTTCAAATTTGTGGAAACGGTGTTAACGGCACCAAAAATATACAAATATTAACGATTTATTTTCATAATTGTCTTACATTTGTCAGACATGTGTTCAACACATGCCCACAGAAAGAAAAAACAATTCCTATATTAAGAAATTTTGATAAAAAATAATTGTTTCAGTGATTAGTGAAACAAACAAATTCTCAATTGGTTTGTGTGTTAACTAATCCATAGATATGTAGGAATTTAAGAATATTTGAAATATAATTTATATTAATATTGTTTTTGTTTTACAAAATATTTTCTAAAAATGAGTCAATGAATTGTATATTGATTTGAATATCTATACAAAGTTTATTAAACAATTACAATGTAGTTGTAATGTATAGACTGTAAAATCGGTCAATAATACCGGTAATCGAGATTACATTTGGATACTTATAATGAAATGATTTGAGTCAAAACATGAGATAAATTATAAGATTTTATTATAGCAAAAAACAGTTCAATAAATTGGATGCAAATACTCGTGTTTAGACAAACAGTTCGTTTGACTTATTATTGTTATTATATTGATTTCAATGACTTTCTATTACATGATTATTGGCAAGAATTTTGAACCTTATTTTTATACAATTGTATGATATTTTGAAAGTGTGTAAAATTGTGTGGGTTATGAATATGGTTATCATTGATTTATTTGTAACTTAAACTAAAATTGTCATTTTAATCTAACTTAATAAACATGCATTATATTTGTCACAAAAGTACACTGACACTAAATATATATGATTGATATAAATAAATCTAGTAATTAAATATTTATATTAGTTTATTAAAGTTGTTTAGAACAATATATTGCATAATGATGAAAATATAGATGTATTATCGTTGAGAGTTATAAATAATTACACAATTATTACTAACTTATTTAACTAAAAAGATAAATGAAAAGAGTAGAATAGAGTACTAATACATGTAGTATTTAGTAATCTAGTTTAATATTTAAATTTTAAATGCTAAAGATCAATTTATCAATACAATTGTTTGTACTATTGAACTGAAAAGTAAGCGTTGAAATAGTTGTACTGTATATTAAATTGTATTATTTTAATCAATTAAATGTGACTTTTATGGAAATTTACAAGAATTTGTCGTTTAATTCCCAAAACTTCACGTGTGTTTGTTTTGAAATGCGTGAATATTATTGCATACAAATAATTATCAATTAAAAACAATTTCCATTACAATTCCACATATTCTTGACGTCTATATATACCCTATAATCTAAATCACACAAAAGTACATGTGATTCCAGTTTAGGCAAGAATTATATGTTTTGATGGAAATTTTTAATTTATTTCTAACAAATTCTTGATTTATAGCGAATACATATTTTGTGACGAATTAAGTCAATCATATCTTACGGTACAAAATATAAATGTAATATATTTAATGCTATTTTATAAGTAAAAATGCAGTGTTTTAGCAGAGTTTATGACAAAAGATACGTTATATTCAAGAATTGATTAGAAAATAACGGATTTAAAATACTATTGGATAAGAAAATGCATGCATTTTGTACCCCCTATTGCCGGCGCCGGTGAACACGTGTACGAAAGCACGTAAACTGTCAAACACTTCAATTCAGTTAATTCTTACACAAATCATACAATGAATTAAAATACACTAAATTTGTAAATCATGTTTTCTCAATGAAAATGAGTTTATTATATTTTTTATAATTTTCAAAGTACGGGAATTATTGCTGAGAAGTATAGACACAATCTATAGTTAGAAATAAATTGCAAAAACTGTGTTCACGTCTGTTATCGTATTGAAGTTTTTGAGAAAACTTAATAAATTGTTTACTAATTGATTGGTATTGAAAAATGATTTTCTGTTTTATCTTTATTTTAAACGACTTTATTTTTTGATTAAAAATATTGCAAAACATGTATTTATTTCTTCATGTTTTTATAGTGAATTATTTTTCGTTGTTTTCACCAATAAATGCAAGTATTATTTACAATATTTATATCATTAATCAAATAATAGTGTAATTTTCAAA